TCTCTCAAAAATAAATAAATAAACTTAAAAAAATAAGGAATTTTTTTTGTTTGTTTTTGTTTTGGATTTTGAGAGCGTACCAGAGTACGAGCATGGGAGAGGCAGAGGAAGAGGGACAAAGGGAATCTTTTTTTTTCTTTTTAAAGTTTTTGATTATTTATTTTGAGAGAGACAGAGTGAGAGAGTGCAAGTGGGGGAAGGGCAGAGAGAAGGAGAAGAGAGAGAGAGAGAGAGAGAGAATCCCAAGCAGGCTCTGCATTGTCAGTGTGGAGCCCGATGCTGGGCTCGAACTCACGAACCACGAAATCATGACCTGAGCCAACATAAAGAGTCGGATGTTTAACCTACTGAGCCACCCAGGCGCCCCTAAAGATTGTTTTGACTGTTCCTTCATTTCCATATGAATTTTGGAATCAACTTGTCAATTTCTGTAAAAAAGCAGCTGGGATATTGATGGTGATTGCATCAACTATGTAAATCACTTTGAGGAGTATTGTCATCTTGACATTATTAAGTATTTCAATCTATGAACACAAGACACTTTTACATTTATTTAGGTAGTCTTTAGTTTCTTTCAATGACATTTTTTAGTGTTCAGTATAGAATTCCTGCACCTTGGTTACATTTATTTTAAGTAATTTGTTGTTGATTCTATTGTACCCAATAAATTACTTTTGCTTTAATTTCATTGATTTTCTTTTTTTTTTTTTTAATTTTTTTTCAACGTTTATTTATTTTTGGGACAGAGAGAGACAGAGCATGAACGGGCGAGGGGCAGAGAGAGAGGGAGACACAGAATCGGAAACAGGTCCAGGCTCTGAGCCATCAGCCCAGAGCCTGATGCGGGGCTCGAACTCACGGACCGCGAGATCGTGACCTGGCTGAAGTCAGACGCTTAACCGACTGCGCCACCCAGGCGCCCCAGATTTTCTATACTGTTTTCTATTCTTTCTATCATTCATTTCCACTCTCTTCTTTGTTTATGAAATTGTATGACAGACGCCATCATAAACCAGCAATACACTGAAAAAGAATTTTTTTGAGATACAATTTTAGTGACTCTAATATACAAATACTCTAAGAAATTCTTGTTAAAAATACAAACAGACAAATAGAAAAATGAAAGAATCATTAGAAAAATAACAGAAGCAAACAGTTCACAGAAACACAGATGCAAATAGACACTAAAAGCCTGAAACAAATGCTCAGTTTCCTTTTGAGTTCAGAGAAATATTAAAGTAGCAACAAAATACCATTTTTTTTTTACCGTTTGATACTGACAAAAATTAAACAGATTGATCACATAAAATGGTGGCAAAGATATGGGGAAACGGTCTCATGTATTACTGAGAGATGTGAAAACTGCTACTATGTTATGGAAAAACAATCTGGCAGTACTTATTAAAATGAAAAAATGTGCATGCCCTTTGGGTTTTTGTTTTTGTTTTCAAAGTTTATACATTATGGTATGTTTGCCATAAGTGAGCTACCATCTGTCCTGTTACGTGCCTATTACAACATCATTGACTGTATTCCTTACGCTGTGCCTTTTATTCCTTTGACTTACTGATCTACTCTATTCTTTATTCCTTTCTTCTTTCTGCTCGTTTTGGGTTTAGTTTGCTCTTCTGAAGGTGGAAGTCTAGGTCATTGGTTTGAGAGCTTCCTTTTCCTTTTTTAAATTTTTTTTTTCAACGTTTATTTATTTTTGGGACAGAGACAGAGCATGAACGGGGGAGGGGCAGAGAGAGAGGGAGACACAGAATTGGAAACAGGCTCCAGGCTCTGAGCCATCAGCCCAGAGCCCGACACGGGGCTCGAACTCACGGACCGCGAGATCGTGACCTGGCTGAAGTCAGACGCGCCACCCAGGCTCTCCCTTTTCCTTTTTTATAATGCAGGCGTTTCCAGCTGTAAGTTTCTATGTGCTACTTTCTCTGTGTCGTGTAAGGTTTCGGTATGTTGTGTTTTTGGTTTCAGTCATCTCAAAGCATTTCTCCAGTTTCCCTTGTGATTTCTGTTTTGAACCATTTATTGGTTAAAAGGAGGCTGTTTAATTTCCACGTTTGTGGATTTCCCACGTTTTTTCCTTTCATCCTGTTCTACTTTCAGTCCATTCCTACAGGAGAACATACGAGTGAATTTTCCATTTTCATTCTTGCACTTTTCAAGTCCACAATTCCCATTTGTTTCTTTTCATAATTATTCATAATTTGTATTTCTTTATTGGAATTCACTCGCGAGTCACCTTTCTCACACTTCCCTTTGGTTCTTTAGTATGATTTTTTTTTTAATTCTTTGTATTTGAAACAGCTGTTTAAAATATTTGCATCTTTGTCTAGTAAGTCCAACATGTGGGCTTCCTCAAGAATAGTTCTTTTTTCTAAATTTTTTATTTAAAAAAATTTTTTTAATGTTTTTATTTATTTTTGAGACAGAGAGAGACAGAGCATGAGCAGGGGAGGGGCAGAGAGAGAGGGAGACACAGAATCCGAAGCAGGCTCCAGGCTCTGAGCTGTCAGCACAGAGCCTGACATGAAGCTTGAACTCACAGACTGTGAGATCTTGACTTGGCTGAAGTTGGACGCTTAACCGATTGAGCCACGCAGGCGCCCCTTTTTTAATTTTTTAAATGTTTATTTATTTTTGAGAGAGAGACAGAATGTGAATGGGGGAGGAGCAGAGAGAGAGGGAGACACAGAATCTGAAGCAGGCTCCAGGCTCTGAGCTGTCAGCACAGAACCCGACACAGGGCTCAAACTCATGAACCTCGAGATCACAACCTGAGCTGAAGTTGGACGCTTAACTGACTCAGCGACCCAGGTACCCCAACCACAGTTCTTCTTGATTGCTTTTCGTCTTGTGACTGGGCCATGCTTTTTTGTTGTTGTTGAAAAGGGGAAATTTCAAATAATGTCCTGTACCAACTCTGAAATTAAATTATCTCTTTTTCCTTGGGTTTTTATTGTTGTTTATTGTAGTAGTAAGTTGGGTTATTTAGTGACTTTCATGAAGTCTGTAGACTCTATTTTTTGCTGTGTGTGGTCACTGCAGTCTTGGTTTGGCCAGCTTGGTGGTCAGCCCGTGATAGTAGAGATTGCCCTAGACACTTGGAATCAGTACGTGCCCCAGTCTTCACCGAGAGTCTCTTTGTGTGTGTTGGGACACAGTTTCAATACCAGCCAGGCATTTGACAGCCCTGCCTCAGCTTTCACTTCCTGCTTTAACAGAACCTCAAAGTCAACCCGTGGTGAGAGCTTAGAGCCTTCTCAGGTCTTTTTTGAGTATGAACACAGCCCAGGACGTACACACAGCCCTACCTATAAGCATAGTCCTGCAGGCTCCCCAGGATAGGCATTAGCTTTCCAAAGTACCTCTGGATATCTTATTCCTCATATTTTCCTTTTAAGCTTTTCGGTTGGTCTATTTTTTTTTTTTTTCACCAAACTTTATTCAGTGCCTCCAGGCGGCTATGAAGTTAAACAATTGCCGACAATGGCTTTGAACAAATACCTTTAGGGATAAAGCTTGTCACACTGGGTGAACTCAGAGCGAGTCAAATACTGACAGCCTTGTAAGTGGGATCTTCCAGGGAGCTATCAGACAAGTCCAATAACGGCAGTTCTTTGGGAATTAGGGTCTGGAGGCTCTCCAGTGCTGATTTGCTCTCTCCAGTGGCTTTCGTCCTGCGAACCCAGGAGTTTTTATTGTTGACAGTGAGCTATAATTTTTTTAAAGCTACTACGGAGCTGGGAAGTAGGGGATGGGAATAAGTCAAGTAAAAATGCCACAAACTTCGCTCTTTTTTAACCAAGATTTAGCTATTTTTCTTGAATACATGCTCTCCTGGTTGCATAGCCTTTATTTCCAGAGTTGTAAAAAAATTGATTTTGACTTTTTTCTCCTTTTTTTTGGCCAGTGTTCTCCTGGCTTTATGGAGAGAATTTGTGGATGTCCTTACTCTGCCATTTTCAGTGATGCTGCTGTGTGTGCGACATTAATGGAAACTCATCTTCATAAAGGAATATAAATATGTTTTCAAGGCATAAAACCTAGAGCTTGCACAAATAGCAGAATAAAAGAGTTGTATTTTGATAGATGGTGGATTTTTAGCAGTCTGTGGCAACAGGGGATGATTTAGATGTAATATTTCACAAGATTAAATTGCTTTCTTATTGTGTCAGAGGCAGGTAGGATTGCCTTTGGGATTTGGAGGAGGCCATTGATGGCCACTGGAGAACACGGTTGCAAAAAATCTCAGCCACACATGCAAAACTACGGGAAGAAACGTGGTTGCAAAGGTATTTGGGATCAAAGCACAAGCTTGGATCAGTGGGGATTGGTGGTTACAAGAAATAAAGTCACCTGCCTTGAAACTCAGTTTGATAAAATTGTGGTGGTGTCTTCTTGAAGCCTGTGAGTTTCTACAGAGTAGAGATTGGTGCCCATTTTAGAGCCTTGCATGTTGCTTAAGACTTTCAGGTGTAAGTCGGCTTACAATTAACATCAGCTTGGGGCGCCTGGGTGGTTCGGTCGGTTAAGTGTCTGACTCTTGATTTCGGCTGGGGTTCGTGGGTTCGGATCCTGTGTCGGGCTCTACGCTGAGGGTGCGGAGCCTTCTTGGGATTCTCTCTCTCCCCCACTCTCTCTCTCTCTCTCTCTCTCTCTCTCTCTCTTTCTCCGAAATAAATAATGAACATTTTTTTAAATTAAGAAAATAAAATAGGCTTAAGTAAAAGTTTTTTTATGTATATCTAAATTTCCAAAGATAGCAGACACCGATGTGTCTGGATTCAGAAACTCAGAAACCTTCCAGGAATCTGTCCTGTCCTGCTCTTGTCTTTGATTTCCTTTGTCCGCATTTCGCTTGAATCAGTCTCCTCGAGGGGCCACGTTTGGTGTGTGTGCTCCTCTGTGGAGCCTGACTCAGCGGTCTGGGGTCAGCACCACCTAAGCCACATTCATTGGTAGCAGAGTAGGATGATACCCGGAGGAAAAACAAAACGTTGTCATTTCAAACAGAGAGTTGGGTGGATTTTTCAGCGTCCGTGAACGCTCATCAGGCAGAATTAATGCCTGCCCGTTACACACGGCAAACACCCCCGTATCGAGTTTCCCAATTGCGTTAGGAGCAGAACCTAGCCTTGTGTTCTGGAATCACGACACCGTCCCTCATCTTTGGACCCATGGTGATTTCGTCCACACCCACACCACTGTCCCACCTTTGGTGAGTTCTCGTCTCCATTTCTGCAGTGCTTCCTGCTTCCTGTCCTTGATGTACACCTGAAGTATAAAGGTGCATATATAGTTCACGTCCCTGGGGAGGATGGAATATTCAGATACATGGACTGTAGTTATGTGGTTTTGGATGGAACTCCTTGAGAGTCCGTCCAGGGGAGAGGACATACGTAAAACCAAACACCAATTTATTTTTTTTTCATCTTTCTTAGATTGGGCTGGCACTGTTTACAAATACTCTCTACAAAGTTGGCTTTTTTTATTGATGAGTAGCTATTATTTTCAGGTTTAATTTCGGTGAATAACAAATCATCTATGAACCGGGAATAATAGTAGGAACTATCTTGGAAGGGTTGTGGAGGAAGCTGAACAAGCAATTAATTACATGCAAAGTACTTAGAGTACTGCCTATTAATTATTATTATTATTATTATTTATTACTCATTGACTCCACCTCTTACTGATCTTCAGTTTTAAGGTGGATAATGAGGGGGTCATTTCGAAAATCAGGTACAGGACCCACTTAGTGCCCTCCGGGACCAGTCAAAGCTAGAAGGCGATCACTGAAGCAATCATCCGTTGGGTGGAGTCTGGTGGAGGCGACCGTGTCGTTCGGGGGACCTCGCTGCTGAGCGGCATTTTGCCCGGCTTCCACAGGCTCTCTAGTTGACTTCCACTCTTCGGACGCGTGTGGAAGGAGCGTCTTTCCCAGAGTCCCTTTGGGGACCTGCCTGGTGGCTCTTTACTTCATTCCTGGAGCAAACCTTTCATAGCATCGGCTGCAGTAGCTGCATGGATGCAGCCCTTGTTCATTTTCCGCCGATTCCGTTCTGAGCTCTGTACGCG